CAGATCGTATATATTACAAACAACCCTCCCCAATTCCAGTTGAATTTATTCCGTCAATTGTTCGAAGAGGAGTTGAATTTGTTCGAAGAGGACATACAACAACAAAAATATCACATAAGTCTGAAGAACCATCAAAAAGCACTCGGGCATCGGTAGACATTCGAACTTATTTCCCTGAAACATGGCTTTGGGAACTACAAGCTATTGGGTAAGACAATCAAGTTCCATCTAGAGTTTAAAATTTCTTAAGATGTTATATCAGAAGTGTCTCTTCAAAATAAAACATTTCCTACAAAATATATTTCTAGAAATCTGATATAAACCACTATGTTGTCTACTTTTAATTTGCATTTTCAGTTTCTTCATGTTTAAGCTGCTGATTACTTATTTTCATACTTAAAGTTGAAACAAGTATAGTCAAACATACTGTGGGGTGAACGTGCTTTGTAGTCTCTATGAGAAGCCTATATACTATATAGGTGAAGTGAAGAAAAAATGTCGGTGGTCACTGGTATAACCCGATAACGTACGTTGGTCAAAGTATACATTCAACTGGATTTATACTTCGAGATTAAACAATTTTCGAAAAATACTAAATTTATTTATTAAGTATACTCAAAACTTTGTGGGAAGTTCAGTTGATTAATGCTGAAATCATTTTTTTTTTTGCTGTACATTTTCGCACTGAGCTGTCACCATAATACACCTTAAGGACTAATTACAACAACAAAAGTCAAAATCTTTGGTTATTAAAACGTAATTATGGGCACAAGAAAAAAGGTTTAACTCGCGTGCAATTCATGGGCTAGAGCAATAATGACGCATCACTAAATTACCCCATTAGATTAGAACAAGATTTTCGAAGAATAATGATAAAAGAACATAAAGATTTGACCCGGCATGGCCAGGTGGTTAGGGAGCTCGACTCCCAACCTGCGGGTTCGAATCCCTATCACACCAAACATGCTCGCCCTTTCAGGCAAGTGGGGCGTTATAATATGACATTAAATTCCACTATATGTTGGTAAAAGAGTAGCCCAAAAGTTGGCGGTGGGTGGTGATGACTAGATGCCTTCCCTCTAGTCTTACACTGCTAAATTAGGGATGGCTAGCGCAAATAGCCCTCGTGTAGCTTTGCGCGAAATCCATAACGAACAATCTTGCAATCCTATGAAATTGTATCAACAGATGTTAACTGTTTGTGTATTTGTCTGTTTTCTAGAGAGGATGGGCAAACGATTTTCAAGCGTCACCTTCCTCATACTATAACAGAATGGATTGGTAACGCTGTTTGCATGGATCGAAACAGAGGATTAGGGGTCAGCAACATAACCAGTGTCGTTGGTTTCCAGCCGTTCTTCCTTTCCTTCACCATACCTTACTCCATTATTCGAGGGGAGGTAGCCCAACTGGCTGTTACCATTTTTCAACTACTTATCAGAATGTATACCTGTGAGTTCATTATATTTGCATGAATAATTAATAGTAGTGTTTAAATTTAAAATGAACTGAATTTTATAAACTACAGCAGGTTTCGTTGATTTATATATATATAAAAAAATAATTCTAATCCATGCATACAATTAACAAAAGTTTTATTTATCAAGATTTCAAATATCAGTGAAACTTTTGATTTTAGCATTCATAAACTATTGCTGTCCCGCTGCAACACAGAAAAATGTCCAATTATTTAGTTGAAGTACATTTGGATATTTATAATAAAGACTAACAACATGGTAATTTTCCCCTCTTTCATTACTGTCCTCCAATCAGTCAGCGAAATATTTAGGACCTACAACGCAAAAACCCTGCATTCGATCACCCGTGGTGGACAGATATCCTATTGTGTAGCTTTGCGCTAAAACAAACAAACTTTATTACTAGTGGTATCACACATTGATAGTAAATTGTTGAAATTTTACTCTTGTGAAAAACTTTGTTTCTTGTATAATACATTTTATTTAGAATAATAATGAAAAACCTTGCATCGTAGGCGAAAACTGTTTCTACCCGTAGTTAAACGCTAGAAGTAAGATGTAATGATGATTTCCACAAAAATGTGCTTACTGCCATACGCTTCACATTACCTACCAAATAATTCCCAAGGTCATAGTCGGCAAACCCTGGGTACGTGTCCCACTTTGTTCTTATTGATATGTGACACTTTGAATGGTTAGAGAAACTTTTGTATTAGTATATTAAGGTGCCCTTCCCCAAAATTCAAATGTGTTCCACCGCCTTTGGCCAAGGTTGCCCTTTAGATATATCTGTTGAGATCCACATCACGGATTTCGTACTCTCATGTTTTAAAGCGTTGAAAAAAAACGTTAAAATACTGTTAGAAGCAATAATGTTACAAGATGTATAATACATGAAGCGTATTTTTTACGCCAAAATCAGCTTTCTGACCTCAAATTATTAATTTCTATGACATTTCGGAGCCAAACTTTTACAGAACACAAACCATAATTTTCGCAGCTATGGTTATCTTGTTTTTATTCCAATCTACAACAAAACGTACTTCTTTTGTCAAGAAACATTAAAAATGCTCTAATTCTGAAAATGACCATCGCAGGTTGGTTTTACAGTTTGGCAGAACATTTCCACGTGTTTCTTACTTTTATAAAACAAATTATTTCTATATTCTTCAACTCTGTATATTAAGCCGCGAACGAAATATAATCTTATTTTATGTTGATATTCTTTTCTCCTTTAAGAAACTGATGACGTTATGATTTTGTTCGGTGTTAGTGTTCGTGATGTTCCATTCACAATTCGTGCCCCCAATTTTTTCTTGAAAAGAAGTGACCCTTGTAATAGGGAAAGAGACTTGTGTACAATTATCAAGGGAAATCTCTGTCTCAGATTTGAATTTAATGGTCACGGTAAGATTGACAAGTCCCAGAGTTTTCGCTCGAATTTTGAAAGGATATGTGTAGCTGTCTTTTCCACAGACACAGAACTCTTTCTCTGTGGAGGCGCCAATAATCATAAAATCTTGGCTGTCATCAAGAGATATTCTAACCTTTAGAAAATCACAAGAATTAATACGTAGTGTCTTATGTTTAATTCTCTATCAATCATCTTTGCAAGTAAAATATTTCTCTAAATCAAAATGTTCTAAATCATTTGTTATTAACCAACAGAATATCCTCATATTTCATACTCACAAATAATTATTGAAAACACTCTATTCAGTGTATCTGAAAACTGTAGTAATAATGTTAATTATACAATATGACCGATTTTTTTGTAGATTATAGTTGTAACTTTTTTATATCTATGAAAGCCTACTGTGATATTTATTTGGGCAACTTTATATATCGAAATTGTAGCTAAAAATGCATCTTTTCTAATATTTAAACACTAATTTATGCTGATTCTCTACTTTTCTTTAAGTAAAATATATAAAAATAGCTTCACTCACAGTAAACTACAATTGTTCTTTGCTGCTGAAGAGTCTGCTCTTAAAATATCATAGTTATTATATTTTATCAAGTTTCTCCAAGAGTTTGTCTAAGTGATGCACGTCTTTAATATAACTGAAAAATATTTGATAATAAATCTCTTGTTTTGCGAAATTTCAAATTAAATAACAATCATTTAAACTAACCAAACCTTTTGTCAACCTTTTCAGTATGAAAATACAGTTAAATAGCAAACACTTAGGTTCCACGATTTGTAAATGGAACATCATGAACACTAACACACAACAAAATCATACCGTCATTAGTTTCTCAAAGGACAAATGAATGCCGACACATAATACAGTTAAAATACACAATTGAAAAATATAAAAAGAATAAGTTGTGTTTTGTAAAAGTAAGAAGCAAGTAGAAATAAATAAGAAACAAATAGAAATGTTCTGCCTAATTGTAAAACCAACCTGTGGTGGTGATTTTCAGAATTAGACCATGGCTTCTGTTTCTACATAAATCAAATGTGTTTTGTTGTAGATTCGAATGAAAGCAAGACAACAAGAGCTACGAAAACCGTGGTTTATGTTGTAGAAAAGTTTGGCGCCAAAATGTCATAGGAACTAATAATTTAGGGTTGATTTTGGTGTAAAAAAAAGAAGAAGAAAAAAAAAGGTTCATGTATTATATATATTATAACGGTGTTAATTCACAGTTGAAATATGTTGAACATTTAACAGCTTTTTTAAAGTTTCTTTAACGCCTTAAAACCCGAGAGTTCGAAATCCGTGATTTGGCTCTCAACAGTTGTATGGAAAGGGAAACCTTGGGCAAAAGCAGTTGAACGCATTCGAACTTGGAGTGAGGGCATCTTATTTCCTATGTTAACTGTACAAGCACAGAGCATAGATAACAACGACCTCTGTGAGAACAAAATTACAACATCTCTCAAAGCTGCGGATGCCATAACACGACATTTATTGGTCGAGGTAAATTGATCTACTTAACAGTTTAGTAAAACTTTACATCAACATTTTCTATTTCCAGACTGGAAGTCTTTCTACATTACTTAACTCTGAAAATAAAAATCTTGTGTTACAATATGAAAATAACAAATTTTAGTTTGTGGGAATTGAAAATCTCTTCTATACGAGATTTGCCTTTATTTTACAAATTTATTTTTTTATCTCTGCTGAGAATATTCACCACTTGTGTACAAATTAATCTTAATTTGATTAACAAAAATATGTGAATGAACAATATAAAATATATATAATACTGCAATTCTCATTAAACATTAATGATATGTAAGGACTCTATTTTTAAGTAGTGCCTACTGTTGTTATAAAGTCAGTGAAATAATTTATTTTCAGGAAAAAAATTATATAGGTGCTCCATATTGAGTTGCTTCGATTTTTTTTTTGTAAATTTCTGTAAAGAAACTCAATCCTGTTTTTATGTTCTATCGCTAGTCACAAAAATCATGGTTTATGCTTTCTTTGATCTGAGCGTTTTCCGAACAACAATAACAAATCTTTCCGAAAGCTCTCGGTTTATTGGGCTCTTGAATAGTAACTTTTCTGTCTATTTCTATGATCCTAATGTGTTTTTTAAATAATTGTATTTTAACACAATTGTTAATATTCGAATTTTCCGTACTTACTATAGAATAACCCTTTTCTTTACAGGCAGAAGGTTTTCCTAAAGAAGAAACCAAAACGACATATGCTTGTCTAAAAGGTAAATAACAATAGCGTTCTAGTGCTAAATACGTATAGAAAACATCCTACGCCAAGTAACTCGTAATAAACACTGAATTTACCAATGCTATTTATATTGTAATAACACAGAATCTGATTGTTGTTCGTATAGGCAAAATATTTTACCTACTCACCTGATAAATGTTTATCTCAGATTTTGTGCCGTAAACAGCCGGGGTTTCTTGAACTGATGTTAAAAATCGTTTACTTTCGTTAATAAATTTTCGAAAAGAAAATCATAATTAATTTAACCATTCCCAACTTAACTGACTGCTTTTTTTATCTTTACACGTCACAGAGCCTCAAAGTCAGCAGTATATGGAAAACTTTGAATTAAAACCACCAAGCAACGTGGTACACGAATCAGCGCGTGCATATGTTTCTGTATCTGGTGAGTTGATTTGCTATATTTCTATCTTCTATAAGAAAGTTCTTCTATCGTTTACATTTTCAATCATTACCCAAAATTAAATGAGGATTCTAACGGGATCAGATAGTCGGTAGCTTTGTTAGTTAAAGTACCTGTCTGGTTAGTATGGATACTGTTACTAATACAACTTGCTCTAAACATAAGATGTAATAATACACGAACAACGAAGTTTTTTTACTCTTTTTGTACTTATTCTCGCTTAAAATTGGTTCAAATTTTAGTTCATAAAAATCAGATTCCAGTATCAGAAAAATAAAAACGCTTGTTCAGAAAGTTTCTACGTGTAAACTAATTCAAAAACTCGTTACTAACATAAATATAATATGAATATTTTGCTATTTTCATCGTTTCTTTTTATTTATGACACCTAGTAGAGGCAAGGTGTGGGTCGAGTTTGACATTATTTCTTATCCTGAGTTGTGTCTAAACTATAAGATGAAATTCTTTTACTACTTCATTGTTTAATGTATCTAGACATGTATGTTAAAATGTTTGATACCGTTTTTTAGAAACACGGCTTCATTTGATTGACCATGTTAAATCCAACTTCCATTTGGACAAGAAGAGAAATTTCATGTGGAAGAGCATTATTTCGATTGGATGAAGTGAAATGAAAAACATATTCACACCAATAATCATAACATTTTATTATCACTTATATACAATGGAAGTTTATTGACTTACTTAATTTTCATAAATTTAATACAACTAGGTAAAACACACAAGTTAAGACAAGCATTTCAATTTTAAAACATCTATCAGGAGTACCAGTGTTGAACAATTAAAGGAAATCACATAATTCCAGTTTCCATTTACATAAAACATGGCAGAAATCAAGCAATCGGGATCTAGCCCCAATATTTTCAAGAGTGGATCTGAAGTAGGGCTAAGAGCTATTTTGTTGAAAAAAAAAAGAATTACTAATTGTTCTAAACCAAAAAGTATGAGATTAGCATGACAGGCTAACTGAACGACCATTTCTTTGAACAGAAAAAATAATATAGGATCCAAAACGTTCTGGGTGATAGTTGTGATGTACACCTTTTATTGTACAAGCAGATGTGCTAGTTTTAGCTCTGCTGGTGCAGATTTGTTCGTGATATTTAAAATATATCGTTCAACAAAGAAGAGAAAACTTACTAATTAATTCAGTCCCTGAACACTTGTTACTCAGACTTGTTTGATCATTGTTGCTAAACACGCTCAAAAAATAATATTCCATGAACTGCATACGTTTAAATCATTTGCAAGAAGATGACATTCAGATATGCTAAGATCTGACATTTTCTATTCTATCAGATTGCCCTGACCCTTATAAACCTTTGGTGTTTTCAGGTGCATTGGTTAGCTTAACAGGTAAGAATAATACCTGCAGAGAATGTTATGTCTGAATCCTTTACTATGGCAGAGTTTGAAGAACGAGACCAACCATAATGTAAGACAAAGTGAAAGTGAATCTTTAATTACATAAATAGAAAATAAAGATCATGAGAACAAAGAAACACAAGATAGTGTTTTCCACATTAAGAAACTTCTCACCAGAAGGAATGATGGATATGATTTTGACAAAACTCTGAATAGGATTGGGATAGTACAGACTCTACATACAGAAAAAAATTAGTGTCACTGCTCTTAAAGTGCTTTCTTTACTCACGTTTAGTAATTATATCAGCAAAAATAGGGAGCTCCAGGAATCACAAACTCGCCGCCTCATCTGATAAAAGAAAATGTTTACATTTGTTTCACACAGTTATGAAATGTAACCATCAGTATGTAGTCAAGTTATATATCCTTGTGGGTTATTGTAAGAGCATTGAACAGTAATTCAACCACACTAACCATTTTAGCAATAATGCTAATTGAGACTGGGCATTACTGAGAATTACTGTGTTACCATTGTAAAATGTCAACCCTTATCGTCAATCTTAATCCACTTATCTTCGGTCCTTAACAAACCTTTGATATTATTTCTATCTGTAATAAGTAAAAGTTTTTTTCTTTCTTTCTGATAAACAACTGCCACCTACTTGTATAAAACTTCCAGCTTTAAATTATTTTAATTATTAACCTAATTCCAGTCTTTAAGCATCCATGTTTTAAATTTTTACTTGTATTCTTTGTTTTGTTTGTTTGTGAATGGGACATCATGAACACTAACACCGACAAAATCATAGCGTCATCAGTTTATTATAAGATAAAAGAATATTAACATAAAATAAGGTTATGTTTTGCTCGTGGATTAATATACAGAGTTGAAGAATACAAAAATAATTTGTGTTCTATAAAAGTAAGAAACTCATACAAGTCATAATCGTGCATTTTTGGGTATAGCAATGGTTTACGATGTAAATAAAATGAAAAACGAAGCACGGAAAAAATAAAATTAATATAGAATGATAACATGTAAATGTAGTTTTAATATGTATTAAAAAACTATAAAATAACATTGCAAGACAAAGATAATGCAATGTGTAACTAGAAATAATACAATGGCCCGGCATGGTCAGGTGGTTAGGGCGCTCGACTCGCAATCTGAGGGTCGCGGGTTCGACCAAACATGCTCGCTCTTTCAACCGTTGGAGCGTTATAATGTGACGGTCAATCCCCCTATTCGTTGGTAAAAGAGTAGCCCAAGAGTTGGCGGTGGGTGGTGATGACTAGCTGCCTTCCCTTTTTAGTATTACGCTGCTTAATTAGGGACGGTTCGCGATGATAGCCCTAGTGTAGCTTTGCGCGAAATCCGTAACAAACAAACAAACAATTTATCAGGAAACATAAAAAATGCTCTTATTCCGAAAATGACCATCGCAGGTTGGTTTTAATGTTTGGCAGAACATTTCCACTAGCAAAATCATTATACTTAGTAACATCACTAATGATCGCATCGTCAACACTATAACATTTTATTAAATTTTCTACTTTACATCTAACGAAGGAAAACGGTATTGTTATATTGATTTTATTTCTGTAAACATGACGTAAAAACGGTAATTTTATATATATATTTATTTATTTTTCATCAGAAGCGAAATTGAAAAGAGACTCTGTGACGTGGAGGCCTAATGAACTCTTTCATTGGATGTATCTACCCTTCATCATTATATGAGGCCTGTGGTATTTCTTTGGTTTGCTGACCCAAACTGTGCTGATGAGCCTTAAATGGGCAAAACTGCAGTCCACAGCAGAGAGTACCACCAATCAAAGAATGCGTTAAGCCTCTTCGTCACAGATTCTCCTTTAAATTTTTACCTCTGGTAAAAAAAAAAAATCTTTAAAATTTCTATACAAGTCTTGCATAAGTCTAAACTTGTATACCAATAAATCGAAAATATTTGAAAATTATGTTCATTCAATTTTAGCTAACATCAAGATTAAGGTAACTAGTTTTTGTGTACCGAAGCCACTAATACGTTCAGGTTATTCAGTTGTCATAGGAGCATTCGTATCATTCTTTTTTTTTGTTTTGTTTTACAGGTGATCTCATGGGCCCAGCTCTTAACGGACTAGAAAGTCTTGTACGTTTACCTGTTGGATGTGGAGAACAAAATATGATCCTTTTCGCGCCAAACATCTTCGTCTTGAACTATATCACAGCAACTAACCTTGTTACCGAAGACCTGAAAACTAAAACTTTAAATTTCATGCAAATTGGTGAGCTATAAAAGATAAAAGAGGTCAAAGCTAACGTGTTAAATCAGTCACAAATAGCGACAAAAACAGCAACGATATTATAAAATCATGTTAAAGAACTACAAAACTATTTTGGCCAAAATCCATCCACTGGATCCCAATGAAGATCAGTTGGCCGAAACATTGACCTGATAATTTTTCCCATTACCTCAATTTTAACTACCGTTTGTACTTTTTCAGTTAGTTTATTTAATTTGGTTTCATATGTTGTACAAGATTCGAAAATGTTCAATTAAATTCATCATAACTTATCAATTTCTATAACTAATTTCGACCTGAACGACGCATATACGATATATTGGCTAAACGAGCAGGTCAAAGATCTATATATTTTAAGTGTAATCGTTCTTAAAGTGAATGGGTTATTATATCGTTTTTGAACTTATTTACACTTTATTTTCCGTATGTCATATTATAACTTTAACATAATATTGACCAAACGTAGCAAACATTCTCGTGTAGCTCTAAGCTAGTTAACACACTATTGTTAATCATTAAGGTCAGTTGCTGCTCTTTTAAGAAACAAATTACATTTTACCACTTATTTATTATTGCATTTCAAATATTAAGTTTGCGTATCTTTAAAGTAAGCTAATCTCACTGTTCTGTTTAAAATAGAATATGACATTTTGAAGTAAAGGTATTCATTACAAAGAGAATGAGATGGCATTCAGCATTCATACACAAAGTTATTGTACTTAGGGCTATATGATTTCACAGTAATAACCTATAAATGGATTAGAGAATTTTAATTCGGAAAGTTTTGATAAGGTAGATATAGAGTATTACGCTTCAGCTCAATTCCCATTGTAGAAAAGTAGTTTTGTAAGAATATTTTAATAATGCATAACTATTAGAGAAGGCTTTTGTGTGATGCAATGAGGTCAGTATAGTTTTAACTTGCTTTCCAAATTCCATTATCAGCACGAAGATGACGATTTCTGAAAAATTTTTCTAATCAACAAAAGGTGCATAAGTTTATTGAAACTGTCTGCGAATTGCAGAACGTAAATTCACGTTCGTACTTTTATCGCATAGAGATACTGAAATGTGGCTGGGCGCTTTGTGTTGAGGAAAACGTGTCTTATTGTCATCCAATCCGTACAAAGATGGTATTTTCACATGTCAGCACTATAGCCTCATGGTATGCAGAGATAACCTTTGAATTTTTTCAAGCTTTCCGGATATTTAACTTACGTTTATATCTATAAAATGTGGCAATAAACTAATTAAAAATACTCCTGTGATATATTCTATAACATTTTTGCAATGTTGTATCACCGGAACGAAGGGTAATAATCTATTTGGACTTTTCTCGTTAGCATGTTTGAGGTCTATGTTTTTCATTCTTTAAAACAAAATTTGTTTACACAATAATTTCCATATTGCATCTGTGAAAACAAATAATTTGCAGAAAGTTGTATAAAAATGCTGTAAATTGTTGTAATTTTGAGCATAATTTTATGTAAAAGAATTTTGAGTAACTGATCCTACACTATAAGAACATTATTTTTAAAATCTTTGTGATCGTTACAAGAATAAGCTATGCCAATAGCATAGTTTTGCTTTACTCAAAAGTTACGCATAAGCAGTAACGGTTGAAGATCTCTATAAAAAACAAAAAAAAAAACAATATGGTTCACATTCACATTGTTCTTAGTGAAAAGTCGTTACCAAGAATCGGTACCTTCACATGAAACACATTAAGCTCTGAGTAGCCAAATTCTTATGTTTCTAATTGGTACCTCAAAACTGCTTTTAAGAAATTCTAACACGTCTTTATAAGTGGATAAATCGTCCGTCCAAAGTGTAAGTCATTTAGTTTTTGAAATAAAGGAGTACGTCATCTTGGTTTAGCAACTATGATTGGATGGAATATTTTACTTTGATTAATTATCATATGTTATGCCATTTTAAAAGACACTACCCTATACTTTATTTTGTTGTAACGATTTTATTGGATACTTTGTAATTGCTAACTTGATTGAACTTATCTGTTCAGAACGGTTGCGTTGAGTTTCCTTTGCTAAGAAGTTCTTGTTGTCTCTGAGAATATAAAAAATGGGTTTATGTGTTTTTTTGTTTTGTTTTTTTCATTTTATCAGGCTATCAGAGAGAACTGAAATATCGTCACCAAGACGGTTCTTATAGTGCATTTGGTGAAAGAGACAAAGAAGGTAGTCTTTGGTTGACGGCTTTTGTAGCTAAATCCTTTTATCAAGCAAAGAAATTTATCACTATCGATGATACGGACTTGGAGAAAACGTATAATTGGATCGTCAAACAGAGACGAGAGGATGGCTGCTTTCATTCAGTAGGAAATGTGATACATCAAGCTATGAAGGTTAATTTTTTCACAATTGACGTCTCTTAAAATAAGCTCTGAGGAAAAGGCAATGCTTAAAAATGTTTAACGAATGTGTTCTGTAAATTTAACTATTCTAACCACATGTTATACTTGTGTAATAATACACAGATTTAGTTTTATCCTTTAAATTGTAAAAGTAGTGAGCATTGAAATCGTTAAGTAAATTTTGCTCAAAATATTAAATTAAATTAAATAGAGTTCGATTCCCCTCGAAGGACACAACAGATAACCTAAGTGGCTTTGCTCTAAAATATACAAACATTAAAGTATGTGCTTCATGAATTCATTTCTGGTTATACAGTCCACTCAAGCTTTATTAACAAGTTGCAAGGTCAACATTTTATCATGATATTAAAATCACATCATCCACTGCACTAGTTACAATATAGTAAAATGAAATTTCTTAATGTCCGAAGGGATAAATGGCGTTTGTTGCTGTACCTTATTTCGACTTATTACATAAATATATACAATATTTGCTGAAATTCAATTGTTTAATAAAAGTCTCATTTTAAAACAGTTAAGTTGAAACATCATTGAAAACATTATACATCCAAAGAAATCAACATTTTAAACTGAAAATTCTAAACACCCCATGCTTACAGTTTGCCTTATTGATACCATTCATTAAAGTAATATAGAATCACTTTTTACTGTAAGACTTGATCTGGAGAAATTATAAATTCTATAAGCAAACAAACACCAATTTTAGATGTTTCATAAAAAAAAGTGTTTTGCCTATAACTTGTATTACTTTAATTTGTATATTTTTAAGAAAGGATAGAATTAAATATGAATTTAAGCTAAAGTTGGTATGTTTCACCTAAAACAAATGTAGCAGTATCGTTGATTAAAATGTAGCGATTCTGACAAATGATATTAGTATAAAAAACTAAATTTTTATTTCTTCATGTTACAAAATTCCAACTGATAGAAAGGACACTTTTTAAATACTTATACAGGGTGGAGTTGAAGGCAGTGATCAAGCCCTGACAGCTTATGTTTTGACTTCTTTATTGGAATATGGATATTCTATGAACGATCCTGTCATCTTGTCTGGCTTCTCATGTATAAGAAACATTGAATCTTATCCTACCTACCTTCTAGCTTTGATGGCTTATGCTGTTTCTTTGGCAAACTTGCCACAGAATGAGTACTTGGAGCAGCTCGAAGAAAGAGCCGAAATTAGAGGTTGGTAAACTAAGATACATATCTAAGTCATTCTTTCCTCGTGAACAGTAAAAATATGTTCCTTCTTATTCTCTTTACTTCAATAGTAAGAAAAGAAAATGTGCAAGTAAAATTACTCAAGCTCTTTATCAGATGATATATTCCTTAAAGTAAACTGACTTGTGATTAAAAAATCTATAAAGAGACATCCGATGAAGAACAGGTTCGAAAATATTTGTTAATCGTGGTCATTAACTTACCATAATATAATTATATTGTTTTTGTTTTCTTTATAGGGAATATCTTATCTTTTTGAATATTTAATAATCGGATATATTGAACTCATTAGCACATAAACAAAGGCCGAGTAATTTATAAGAACGACAAAAATTTAGATAAAAAAATCACAATTTTACACATGTTATAACTTGTATGTACCAGTTGATTGAACCTTTTTTCTCAGATTCAGACACGTTAGGATCTTAAAGTTGGATCACCTGATGATGTTGAAAAACAAATATTTAGGTGTTTTACTTTATGAAGTCTTTGTGAATGTCAACACGTCTCTTCAGGCCAGATAGTCCAATTACTTGCACTTATCATTACCAATTAAATCTTTATAGATAATACAGAATATAATGTAAGCAATATTATGTGAAATTTCACTGAGTCTTGACGTGTTTGCTTACTCTTAAGGTCACATGAAATTTTGGAAGACCGACAAGGATTCTAAGCCTAACTCTATGGACATTGAAATTGCAAGTTACGCTTTGTTAGCCTTAATGACATCAAAAAAACAGGATACCGTGGAAAACGCTAAACCTATTGTTCTTTGGCTAACAACGCAAATCAATTCTAAAGGAGGATTTATGTCAACCCAGGTTTGTATAGTTAAGATGAATTTGAAGATGAAACATTTCAACTCATTTATCCTCATCTCTTTAAATAGATGTGTGCTTGGGATTTCAGTAATTAATTTTAATATTGTTTTCTTTTAGTAAATATAGAACTATACAACACCCATAAAATATCAATTCGCTGTATTGTTTGTCTTCCTAGGTGATGACATCGTAGTTTTATTGTATTTATCGCGGTTTCAGCTATCATAACCAGCACTATTTTCTGGTTTCAGCAGGTATACATGTAATACATCGCTTTTACGAATAAGTTGTAATTAAAATTTTATTATTATTTCGTCACATAATATGTATTCCAATTTTCAAACAGACTTGACAACCTAGAAACATTTGTGGTTACACAGTTCTCAGTTATAAAAAATCACCCATAATTGAAACGAAGAATTAAACTTTTAATAAGGTACAATGTTATTAGATATCTGGTGTTCAATATAGCATAGTGCCATTTGGAAATGTCGACCTTCTTCAAATACACAGCGCTTTCCTTTATAAGTTCAAAGATGTTTAGTTTTCAACGGATATATACACTTGTAATATTACTATAAAGAACACTATTTTAAATGTAACAGTTACAAAGTTTCCTTTTTATCTCTCCAAGGATACGGTTGTTGGACTTCACGCCCTTTCATTGTATTCTATGTTTGTTGAATCTGAGCCCACGAATATTCAGCTTAAAGTAGAAAACACGGAGATGAAAATGAATTTCTTAGTGAATAATGACAACAGACTTGTCTCGCAGAATATGGCGGTAAAGAAGATTCCCACTGTTCTGAAAGTGACTGCAAAAGGCCAAGGGTGTGTTCTTATCCAGGTTAGTTTACTAAAACTCTTTAGGATCTATTAAGTGTGAAAAATCTTCATGTTGTTACTGAGTACATAATTATTTTTAATCAGTTTCTTACACTTTGCAAACTATAAAAAGTGTAGCACAAGGAATTCAACTTATCCATCCAATTCTACAAGTTCCTTCTGAAAGCATTGTTTGTTTAATTTTAGAACTCGTCATTTGAAGAAACAAATGTCGGGACTGAAACACCGTAATCTAAGTTCATGTACTATTCTAATTTTCAATTTATATATCACTTGCACTAACAAAGCTCTTTTACTGTACTGATTACGTGCTTTTCAGCCAAACGTATTACCTTATCGATGTTTCTAAGACTTGTATAAATTATATTGTATTTCGTATTATGAATACTTGCATTAAACTATATAAGCACTAAATTCAGAAACAGTCATGAATAATTTCCACAATGAAATGATTCATTTGTCTGCTATATCAACTCTGAATGTAAGCATCAATAACTCTCTACATACATGTTTCAAACAGTTAATTTCTCAGTTTGTGTCACTACAAGAAATTCCACATACGGGAGTAAACTAATAAAGCACAAATGTGTAAGTTATTAAAAGTAGACAGTAACTGAGTTTATACACTTACAAAACCTAACGTTTGATACTTCGGCCTACTATTTATAACTTTAAATAAATAAATAACATTAATTGCTCTTCATAGCTATATTTTTGCACTTTTTTTGGTAGCCTACCAGTATAACATGGTCATACGATAGACGCACTACCGGATATTCATTATCGAATTATTTCAAATCTTTATTAGACATGTTTAGGTTTGAAAAATATTTCTTAAAATAAATAGTTATGTTTACTTCTGCATTTGTTTAATATTAGTTTTTTAAATGAAATAATATTCTGTTCATTAATTAACGACTGTATCGAATATGAACACAAACATGTTGTTAAATCTGCTTAACCTTAGTAGTGTTATTAAAGTAACATTAATTGGCTGTATATATCTAGGTTACGCTTATTTTATCATTCGTAATATCCCTTGAACGACTTTATTAATAATAATCAACCAAATTCAAGATTGCTGCAACTACGTCGAAATAAATTTTCACCAAATCGAAAATTGATACGAGTTTCTGTTTTAAAAAGTCACACCAGTCTCTTGTGTTTCAAATATCAGGGATTATTTGGTTTATTCAGGACTTTTCCCGTGTTAAACTTACCTGACACAAAAATGTATAGTACTTTCTTTGCAGTCTGAGGTGGAGTTCGAACCATTAATGGTAAAGTCTTCGCTGTCATATGTACTGGAGTTCGGAATGTTGTATTTCTTTTGAAGATATTTTTAGCATTTAATTATCTGTTGCAATGTGTTTTCAAATAATTGGACAAATTAACAAGTTGATTTTTTTTACCCTAATTTTCTATCTAATAGAAACATGTCGATGTAATACAAACTATGAAATAAAGTGTTTATATTTTGCTAACGTACTTAGGTTTATGCTTTCCAGAGAAATAAATTTTCTTCTGTTTGAAATTTGAAGTTGTGTTGAATTCTTGCTTTCTTTTTCACTCTCTCTTTGGCACAAGTTTCTTTATTTTTGTAGACAACCAAAATCTTTACAAACTCCCGGGATGTCTGTTGTTGATATTAGTATGGTCTCTGGTTATGTTCCAGAAAAGACTTCTTTACAAAAGGTAAACTACTAGAATAAAAGTTATGAGCATTATTTATTTTTAAATAAAACGATAGATAGATATGGTGTTTTTAACATTTATTTTCGTCTGTGCTTACCAAGAACAAAATCGTTATCAAAATATGTTCATGATACTTAAAAGTTTTTAAAGTGCAACAAACTTGTTCACATCATTATTTAACTATCTACTTTGAATTTATATGGAAAGATGTTTAATTAGAGTAATGGTAAACAAAGTCTTGAAGTGTAGAATAAATATGGATTTAAAATCTAATATGTAAATCCATTTTAATATGAGTGCTGAAATAACAATAAGGGCCGGATCGTGATTTACGTGCAACCAACCTTGGCAAGAAACGATTTACTGTGTTACTGGCTATTCCATTACAGTGTATATCCAATATTGGAGCTATAGGCTGTTCCTATTGAATGGAATTTCATATACTAGTGCTATTGATTGTTCGAGTTAGATGATGTTTGGAATACTGGTGCTATAAGCTCTTCCTATTAGATGGCGTTTCGAATACTGGTGCTATAAGCTCTTCTTATTAGATGGCATTTCGAATACTGGTGCTAAAAGCTCTTCCTATTAGATTGCATTTCGAATACAGGTGCTATAAGCTCTTCCTATTAGGTGGCATTTCGAATACTGGTGCTAAAATCTCTTCTTATTGGATGGCATTTCGAATACTGGTGCTAAAAGCTTTTCCTGTTAGATGGCATTTCGAATACTGGTGCTAAAAGCTCTTCCCATTAGATGGCATTTCGAATACTGGTGCTCTAAGCTCTTCCTATTAGATGGCATTTCGAATACTGGTGCTAAAAGCTCTTCCTATTGGATGGCATTTCGAATACTGGTGCTAAAAGCTCTTCCTATTGGATGGCATTTCGAATACTGGTGCTAAAAGCTCTTTCTATTAGATGGCATTTCGAATACTGGTGCTCTAAGCTCTTTCTATTAGATGGAATTTCGAATACTGGTGCTCTAAGCTCTTTCTATTAGATGGCATTTCGAATACTGGTCCTCTAAGCTCTTTCTATTAGATGTCATTTCGAACACTGGTACTATAAGCTCTTTCTATTAGATGGCATTTCGAATACTGGTGCCATAAGCTCTTTCTATTAGATGGCATTTCCAATGCTGGTGCTATAGGCTGTTCCTATTAGATGGCATTTCCAATGCTGGTGCTATAGGTTGTTCCTATTAGATGGCATTTCCAATGCTGGTGCTATAGGCTGTTCCTATTAGATGGCATTTCCAATGCTGGTGCTGTATGCTCTTTCTATTGGATGGCATTTCCATTGCTGGTGCTGTATGCTCTTTCTATCAGATGGCATTTCCAATGCTGGTGCTATAAGCTGTTCCTATTGGATGGCATTTCCAATGCTGGTGCTATATGCTGTTCCTATTGGATGGCATTTCCAATGCTGGTGCTGTAGACTTCATACACGTTTTTCAGAGTAAAATGTTTGTTTATTTTGTTCACTACGTTACACTAGGTTTATCTGACATCATCAGATGAGAACTTTCGTCTCAACTGGTAAACCTGGTGAAACGTTTTGAACATAATAAACAAGAGTTTTATCATGTACAACCGATATAAAAAATTGCGTGATTTTTTTAAAAACTTGGTTCTTTCTTATATTTAAGTCCCATAAACTGTTCTTATTGGATGATAATTTGCATACTAGCTCTATACGCTGTTCCTATTAGATGTATTTTGTTCACCAATGCTATAGGTTATTCGTATTGGGTGCGACACTTCATCACAGCATGAACCAGGGTATCTTCCAGTAGATGTGAAAATTGAAAATGATGAGAGAATTTCTATGCGACCAATTGTTTGATTTTTAACTAAAGACAACCTGCACATGTTAAAAATCGTTCATTTGTATTCTAAACTAACGAAATTTCAAGATTTAATGGTACATGTGCAAAATAAAAATATTTTGACAAATCTTGTACCTATTTAGTAAAAGTTTACAATTTAGAAATAAAAACTGTTTATTTGACAAACAAACTTGCTTAAAAGTAAAAATAAGTGTTTTATCTTTAAATTTACATCTTTTATTCTTTGGGTATTTAAAAAATAATCCAGTACTTATCAATTACTATATTTCTCTATAGCTTATCCTTAGTGAATCATCTGAGATAAAGCGTTTCGAAGTGGAGAAGAATAATGTGTACCTGTATTTCACAGAGGTACGTGGTTCCCTATGAGGTTTGCTATGATTTTGATGTTCAGTAAGAATGCTGTACTTTATTTTTTTGTGTTATTTATCATCCCAACTATTATAACAACATTTATAAACTGTGATAATTTAACTTTGAATATTGATTGATTTCAACTTACAAAAATGGTATACATCAGAAACGTCTTTATTAAGTCATTTTGAACTTAAATTGGTTATAAATATATTCCTATTATTACTTTCAAGCGCTCTTAACTATTCCATATGTAATTTCTATTCAAGGGTGGAGACCTATTATAACTCAACAAACAAGTATGTTTATTTGCTTAATGTTACTGATTTTTATTATATTTATTATTTATGCTTAATAGATCTCGTATTTACATTTTTATACATACGTACAAACTTGAATATCTTAAAATGATTTTACTACACATTATGAAAAAAGATCTAAATGTTATGTTCAACCTCATTTTTCCATATCTGTATCTACTTATGTATCTATAAATATTCGTATTTAATTCATTAAAGTAATTGTTAAATATTATTCAAATACAAATCTTCAGAAAGGAACTATTCGGCTCATTTCGATGGAAAGTCTCTGAGGTACAGCAAAATTTGTGAACAAGTTTTCTTGTAAATGAAAAGTTTGCAGAGAAAAACAACGTACCCGAAACAAATGTGAAAGTTTAAACGTGTTCTGAGCGTTGATTTGGCTACTGGTTCAGCATTTTCTAACTATATTATCGTATTTAACCTAATATGAACGTTGGTTTAATGGTCTATTAATATTTTGTCATGCTAATCAAACATTAGAAATTTCTTGCACGTAGCTGAATATAGTAATTTTTGTGCGAAATGTTATGTGCATGGGCAGTGTAGTAAAAAATATTTAATATGAACTTCTTTTAAAGCTTCCAAAGATTCGCAGATGCTACATTTTCGACATTGTACAGGAAATTGTTGTAGAGGAGGCACAACCTGCCAAAGCTTACATGTATGATTACTATAGATCAGGTGAGAAATAACCACAAATATTGTCTTACGTTTTACTTGCCCAATCACCATATTGCATCAGTCTGCTATATATGCAAAGCTGTCTTCTAATAAATATATATTTATATATATTAATTTCATAGTTTGCATAAAATAAATTTTGTAAACCATTTGTAAGTATATTTGAAACCTAATGTTTTCAAATGTTGTTATGGATGTTTCAAAATGTCAAACGGAAATTATTTTTTAAGACTGGTTCTATCAATAACAGATAACTTCAATTTGTTTAGCGAAATACCCTGAATAATAAACTTTATTTTATAATGGGCGAGCAGCAGCTTTTCACAATTTGTAAATTGTTTTGCATCCGACCAATGGATAAAAATAAAAAACTGTATTAATATCAAACGTTCCAAGATATTAGCCATTGAAGGAAGGTGGATACTGTGATCAGTTTGTAAAGATGTGGCATGCCTAAATCAAGGATCAGTTATTTTTGTTTTTTCTTTATATATTTGTAGTTTGAAATTGTATTTGTAATGCAATTATCAAGAGAGTATATAGAGAACTTCTTCAAGCATCACAATGGGGTGGGAATTTTACTGATAAAAAGTGGGGAAAATATTATCATGTTATATATTGACGGTCTTTTGACGTTATTCTGAAGATTACTTCAATCCATCTGTCCTTTTGTTGTTTTCAGTATTTTTAAAGTTTAAATTTTCTGTGCTACTTCAAATTTTCTAGAGATCACTATTTCTCTGTGTTAATGTATAACCAATTCTCCAAACCTGTGACGTGTATGGTAAGCAGTAGACTTTAGTTTCAAGCAATGAATGAATAATTAGTTTCATTATAGGCTGTTTTGCTTTGTTATCACTCGTGTAATACAGTCTATTCCTGTAAAGGTATATTTAACATATGAGACGTTCTTTGCCATGTAGCATATTTTTACATTTCTCTGAGCTTATGTTTTACAAAACTTGTATTTTGCACCATTATGAGCCAGGACGTATCGGAAGACGTTTAAGTTTGAATGAATTATAACACGGAAGTGTTTCAACACAGTGTTGTTTCCGTCTTAGGTGGGAACGAGAGTGTTATTTACCATATACGATACAGACTCCAAGGAAATGTTTTTGAATTTCGCTCAAAGTAAATTAAGGGCTATCTGCTCTAGCCGTCCCTAATTTTGAAGTGATAGCCTAGTGGGAAGGCAGTTAATCGAACACCACCAAACGAATTGGAGAATTGACGGTGACGTTATAATGCCTCCACTACTCAAAGGGCGATCATGTTTGGCGACTAGTTTCGATCCCACGGCCCGCAGATTGCCCTAGCCACCAAAGAAATATAAAGAGCTAGCAAGAAGGTGGTGAACTGATTCATAAACCAAGACAAGACTGCTTCCTGATCATACAAACTAGCTAAGATTCTTTCCAGACAGCATCAACACAGAACTATGTTGAAACCTTCAAAACGCATCTATAGTTCATGTATCCCCATATTTTTCCAAAGTAGACTCAAGTAAACTCGAGTAAATCACCCAAGGATCTCCTGAATTGGACTATCTGAGCTTGAAGATCGGTCCTTTTCATAAATGAGTCCGATTTGTTCCTTGGATGCACAAAATATCATGCTAGAGTGTGGAAACTACCTTGGGATCGCTACCACAATGCTTGTTCAGTAGAACACGTCTGTTAGGTCTGTAATGGTCAGAGACGATATCAATTGCTATGGCAAGACTGATCTGGCGTGTTTTTTATTTAAAGATACATTTGGAAAAATAATGCTTAATAAATTTTGGGTAATATATGTGAAACTCAGCACATAGATATTGTGTAATATGTTATCATGTACGACCTCACTTTCCTAATTCAGTCTTCTAAGATTGTAAGATACTTTAGGTACATTAACATACTCTTCCAAAACCATCTAGGAATTTATAAGGTAAAAGTAAAATTACTGGAAAAAAATGGAAGTGGTAACTGACGTACTGCTAATTAGCAAGATGATCTCTTTTACCCTTGGAATCACGTTTAATTACGAATCCTAAAACATTATTTTAATATAGTTGAAACATTGTTTATTTCTTTTTAAAGGCTTGAAGATTGCCAAGAACTATACATTAGAGTGTGCTCCTGACTTCCCGTGACGAACATCCCGTAAATACTTCTTCGTTCATGAGATATAAACATTTGCATGTTGTTAAACATAACTATTTGAATGTTTATTGAAATATTCCGTTTGCTTTAATCTTTTACAATAGGTGGTTTGTATTTAATTGTCTTATTATATTTTTAAGTTAGAATATTTAGTATTTCACTGTACACATTATTATCGTACTGTAACAACAAATTGAAACTTATTTCGATTGTGATGGGCAATTTTTACTAATAAAATATTTTATCCAAGATCATCTCTAAATATTTATTATAAGGTTTTAAAACCAATGCTGACTGATTTGTTTATTAGAAAATTACTATTTTTCAAGTACTATTGTTCAAGAAAGTCGTATTCGAGTCTATTTTGATGTGTTAATGTACAATAAGGGTGCCAACGTAAATCAATTACAAATTCTGACATCCTCGTAGAATAAAGAGGGGAACATGGAAGCTCCATTGTTGCTGATAAAATAACAAACAGATCAGGGTCTCCTTTTATTCAAAGTGTATTGGTTATTCGTGGCAGCGCATGTGCTATTATGTTTAGTCATTTTGCAGTATCACCCATATAAAATCGTTTTGCTTTTGATTTCGTATGTTATCAAAAGGGCTGACAAAAACCGTCATACTCAGCATAAGTCTGTACATGAACGAAGGGTAAAGTCTCGACAAAATATATAAAATTTGATAAAAATTTAACCTTTCAATGAGAGGCAGATGAACCGTGTTAAAAAAGATAAAACAAAAGAGTTTGTTTGTTAGAAATTAAGCATAAAGCTACACAATGGGCTATCTGTGCTGTGCCCACCACGGGTATCGAAACCCGGTTTCTAACATTGTAAGTCTGTAAACATACCGCTGTGCCACTGGGGGGCAAAACAAAAAGAGCCATGCATTAGACAACAAATAAGTAATTGATTACAGTGTAGCAAAGGCAGAACACTGCAGCTCTATGTTTAACAAATGGTGCATAAAACACCAGTAATAATCCCTTTCATAATGTCCACTTCTTGCTTGGATCATTTTACTATGAGATACCTCGGAAAAGACATTCAAAAACACACTTCATTTTCTTCAATCCTTGAAGAAATTAAACCATAAAACTAAAATAATAAGTGTCGATCTACAAAACTAGAATACACAAATTATTCGAGAAGAAACATTCGAACAAGTTATTTAAAATACCATCAGTGATCCTAAACTAAGAATAAACATTATTTGACCTAACAACAAAGTTTTGCTTTTAATTCAACGATATAATTGGCTTATAAATAGAAAGACCCTGTAAAGGCAGAGCTTTATCTAGTTCCTTAGCCAGTTTCTTTTTACTTCATTTAGATAGGTAGGCTTCAATACAGCCGTACATACTCCTGTACATTGGCCGAAGTATGCTGATAATGTTTCTGTGGGTTTAACTCTGACTTTGAGAAACAGTATTTTTTAAACTATATTATCAACATTCCCCGTAACATTCATTTTGCCATTGAAGATGAAGAAACATGATATTCGCATCATTAGGAAATTAACTGGGTTTGCCACCTGTGTTTATGTAGTAAACCAATTCACTTGGAATGATATGTTGTTGAGAAATCCGCATACCATCTATAACAAAACCTTGGACAATTATATTTATAATGCGAATCGTACTTGACATATGTAACTTCTTTTACTTAAACAAAAAATTAACGAAAATATCTGAAGTTCAACCTTTATGAAAGTGGTTATCTCGAAGGATAGGATAGAAAGAACAACCAGTCAAATCAAAACAAAAACACCACAAAAGAAATAAAGCTTTATCACAACTGTTATCCATTTATTGAACATTGCAGCGACAGCCATGCAGAAATATAGAAACACCTCATCAAAAAGTAAAAGATTAATATGGAATAGTTAGTTATATAAAAACTACCAATAACAATAAAGAATATTATTTGACGATATTATGTGTAACTAAAGTTTGCCTCTGAAGAAGAAAGGTCCACCTTTCGAAAGCACTCGGGTTATAGGTTTTTATTCATTTCTATCAATACTTCTTGAACCTACGTGTTTTACTAATATCATGAATGTGTAACTAAAGGAAACCATTGGAATAGTATACGAAATAAACGGCGACACATTGTGAATGATTTTATTCAAGTGAAATGGGAAGAATATTAAACACTACGATCAACGAACACTTTAAAGGACCATTCAATGTTTTTTCAACATTCAAAAGAAACCAAACACTTTTTCTCAGAAAACCGCATTAAATGATATACTTAGAAACATTTCCTGCGATTATTGTTTAAAAGACGAAATGAATAATATTTGATTAATTAATGGCAGGAGCATAAACTTTCGTTATATATGTTGCTTTCTTGACAAAATATGAATTTTCAGACGCTTTTATATTTAATTATGAGAGTACTGAGAAACGGGAGCCTTGAGTATATTTTTAGAAGAACTCATTATGTATTTTAATGAACTAGAAGACTCCTAATGCATACCGGTTACCTTTTTCCATCGCATGAGGTTAACCAGCCACGTCTAAGGCCCACCATATTTACCTTTTTCACAATTTTCCTCGTTTAAGATACTGTTTCCCTTCCCTGGGAAGTTCAGCCCCTTAACTACTTACCGACATCATTTATTGACTACGATATATAAAATATAGTCTGGTATTTAAAAAAAGATTGCGTGTTTCCCATCTGCCTAGATCTATGAAGAATTCTCAAGATTTACATTCTTGTCTCTTTAGAAATCACCGATCGTTCCACCAAAAACCGTTATTTCATCCACTTAATATCTGAAATCCGTTAGACATACAATCCTGTAGTTCCAGCACATAATGCTGGTTCCGACGCTGTGAGCATATTTTGAATCCATTATTCTAATAAAAGGAAGTCATTCCTCTCTGTGTTCTTTTACCATTGCTTTAGTTGTTCTATGAGAATATCAGACTGTATTTTCTTGGTTTATATTGGCGTCGTTATCGTACGTTACTACAACTTTCTCAAACTTCATCTCTCCCTTCATTATTCCTGTTCTCGTTATAACCAGCGTTTAAATACTTCTCAGATGAAAATTTATTTGCAGGTTGATGACATAAACTGCTAACATTACAGTTATGTCTGCTTGGTGAATATTCTAAGTTAAACGCATATTCTTGTAGTGTTGTAATTCATTATGCTATCATCCCCTTTTCTAATAAGGGTAAATAATAACTAGCTTGACGTTTAAAATACAGCAAACGTTGTTATTTTCAAAAGCATTCAGTAACAGCTGTCATTTCCCACTTAGCCAAGAATACACAGTTTAGTATACTAGTATACTTAATATTTTCACACAGTAAGGATATAATGTATTCCTTTATAGAGGCATTAGAACCAGGGTGTAAAAATATACATAAACTTGGGAATTTTTTATCTTCTATGAAAATTCTCTGAGCTGGAATGAAAGCGAAGGAATAGATGAACCAAACTTAAAAGTGATATACAGAAAATAATATTTTTCTTTTAAAGTTAATATAAAATGCAAAATGAAATTAACAAAATCGAACCAAATGAAATGATAATTACAAAATACATTGATATCTACAATTATCTATACCCACTGACTGGAAAAACTTCTGTTGAAATATTCCGTGACGTCTTAAGAGGGAAAAATTACAATTATGTAAGTGAACTGAACATCTTCAAGGAAAGTTATAATGTTACTAATGATTTAAAAATTGCATTTAATATCTAAAATGCAAATAGGGGTTATTATCTCATATAGATTATACAAAATACAATAGAATCAAAATAAAAAATTCTGAAGATGAGGATCACGAAAGCAAAATATTTTTGGCTAGGTTATACATTTTATCCTCTCAAAACTAGTTATTTATTCATTAATATTTTTGAATGGTTTATATTAATTGAACATTTAATTAAAGTATTATTTTCTGAAATTAAAGTTCTAGAAACAAAGTATAGGTGTAATTTGCAAGAGTTAAAAGCCAAAATATACTATATTATCATTAGCTTACCATATATTTCTCACAAACTTTTGTTCCGAACGCTTAACATTCTGATATAGAATATGTTTTACACATTGTTTTGGAGCATCTATTGTGATAAGCTGTATCTAATGAAACAGTTGGTGATATTTTCACTAAAAGTATTCGAACAAATGCTGAGCTATCTTCTGAAAATTCAGTAATCCCTTTAGCGAGATCTCTTTCGTTCGTGAAAGTTGAAAGTATGGATTTACTTTTTTTTTAAGAAAGCAGTAATATGAGGACTTATACCGCTAGAAACCGGGTTTCGATACCCGTGGTAGGCAGAGCTTTGTGTACCTTTGTGCTTGACTACAAACAAATAAACAGGATGATAAATACTATCCAGACATACTCTATAAAAATTCACCAATCTTAATATAACGGATAGTGTCTTAGCCAAAATGTTTGCATACTGTTCTATATTGATGTTATTGTCTAGATGCATGGAGTAGTTACTGAGTAAATGCCCGGGTAGTTACAAAGAAGGTAGGGTGTGATCAGAAAAACATGTACGAGTTGTTATTCTGGTCTTTATAAGTTGTTTTGAGCATTTGTTTGTCAAAACACACATACACACCTGTTTTGTATAAAAGGATGTGGTTTTGGTATAATTTTTTCGAAACAGATCAACGCTTTGTTCAGACAAAGGTTTGTTCAGGTTTGATCCTCCATGTGTGTCAACTACAATTTATGAGAAACCACAATAGATGGCACTACCCAAGCAAACATCATACAGTGACTCTGTTCAGCCTAAATGGCTGCCAGCTAAGCAGTAGAAAGTACACTGGCCTCCTGCTCCAATTGTATTGACGATGCAGCATACATGGCGTATAGAAAGAAAGGGAGAGAGCGCAGGTAAAAGAAATAGTTGCTCCAACTATGAAAAGTTTGGTCATTGGTGTCATAGATGTCTTTATCCAATGTTTCCACAAGAGTCTGTATGTACACAAAATAGGGAAAATTGCAAACTCCAATTTCAAAGAATGACTGTAAATATTATCAGATTATTTTGTTAAAATAGTGAACATCTAGCTGCTGGTCCGGGAAATAACAATTGTCTATCTGTTCCTTCAGGTGTAGTAGTTGTAGTATACACGTGAAAAAATAGAGATGTGATGTAGAAATTTTAGTTGATGCAGTATAAGATCTTAATCTCTACTTGATATTGTTGGATATCACTATTTATTTCAATATTAAATGTGTAGGAATTAATATTATGCATCTTAGC